TCTAAGGTCATATAGCACTATAGGAAGGTATAGTAAAGGGTGATGGTAGGCGATAGCTGCTATGTGTCAACTATCTAGAGTAATGTTGAAAGGTTAAAGATGGGTAAGGGAGTTGATGAGGGAATTGGTTATGGTGGTTTAGGTAAGGGAATTAGATCAAGTGAAGGATATTTATGACTCTGAGGAAGGAGAAAATGCTGTCAATGCAGCTGTGGGATTCTGTAAGGATGCCTGATATGTTGGGAGGTCGGTGAAGGGAGGATAGGTGGGGGAAAGCAGAGGTGTGGGCTGTAGTAAAGCGTGGACAGGACAACAGAATGTGTGGAACTGAAAGAGGGACATTACATGGTATAGTAAAGGGTGATGGTAGGCGATAGCTGCTATGTGTCAACTATCTAGAGTAATGTTGAAAGGTTAAAGATGGGTAAGGGAGTTGATGAGGGAATTGGTTATGGTGGTTTAGGTAAGGGAATTAGATCAAGTGAAGGATATTTATGACTCTGAGGAAGGAGAAAAGCTGTCAATGCAGCTGTGGGATTCTGTAAGGATGCTGATATGTTGGGAGGTCGGTGAAGGGAGGATAGGTGGGGAAAGCAGAGGTGTGGGCTGTAGTAAAGCGTGGACAGGACAACAGAATGTGTGGAACTGAAAGAGGGACATTACATAGGGTATATAGGGGCGGGTCAGAGTGTGACATTAGATAGGACTGTGTTAGGCGGGTGTAGCCAATACATAAGTGTGCGAGGCCCGTCTCCCAACATCAGTTCCGGTGAAATGGAACTGATGAAGAGGAGATTAATGGTTTTACAGTATGTAATCTACTATTGTGGAGACTTGACCAGAAAGATTGCCATCAGGTATATAAGATTTTAAAGTAGGGGTAACAATCTATGGCTGGAATATGTAAGAAGCATGGTTGGTGTGATGTGGATATAGCGGCATAGCGTGCTAGAGTATCTGCCTGTTCATTGCCAGGGATTCCAACATGATGGGCACCCAGCAAAATCTACAGATTTATGACATGTGGACAGGTAGACAACCAGTTCTGGATCTTACAGACAAGGGGATTGGTCGAGTGCATTGACTTTATGAGGGTTAAAGAGTTACGGGAGTCAGTAAAAAGTAAAAGAGGAAGAGGGAGAGTATATGCGTCTTAAGGCAAAAAGGAGTGCATACAGTTCTGTAGTAAGGACACTAGATTCAGGAGGGAGGGTGTATTTGAAAGTGCAATTTGGGAATGTTACTGCGAATCCAGCTCCTGAGATGGATTTGGAACTGTCTGGAGGAATGAATGGAGACATGGTCAAGGAAATGAGTGAGAAGGATAGAGGGGGGAATATCTGATTTTTGGGTCAGGGAAAAGAGAGGAGCAAATACAGGGGTTAGGATAAGCCATGGAGGAATGGAATGGACAGAAAGTGGGAGGTCGGTGGTGAAAAGGGGGAATGGGAGAGGAGGGTATCCATGCATACGGAGAAAGGAGAAGAGGTAAAGGTAGGAAGCAGGGATTGTGGGATAGTTATTTTGAGGCAGCCAAGTAAGTCTTCTCCACAATCTGAACAATCTTTAGTATCAACTGGGCAGTTTGCTGGGAGATAGAAACAGTTCCAGTACAAGTACTAAGAATTGGATGAGGTTCTGCAGGAATGGGGTTGCCAGAGAGATCAGTTTGATTTGTTAATGCTATAGCTTCAGTTTCAGATGTGACTGTTATGAGACAGGAGCGATCGCATCAGGTACGGAAAGGGACTCAGCCTACTTGTTTTTGGAGGCAATGTTGAAAGCGGAAAGTGTTGCCTGAGTAAAGAGCTGTAGAAGGAATCATGAAAAATCAGTCCCATTTAGCTGGGCTAGAGTATTTGAAGATATTTGTAAGGTTGGTGGTGTTAGATGATTGGGGATGTGTGGAAGAAAGAGTATTGTTGAGGGGGTAGTATTACAGAGAGATGGAGAATAAGGTTGTAGAGTAGTATTAAGGGAGGATGGGGTGTTTGATGAAGAAGGTTGTGGGGGTAGAGGTGATGAAGTTGAGGAAGTTGGGAGAGTAGGAATGTTTTCTGGAGACTGAGTCTTGGTTTAATTGGTTTAATGCACGAGTAGATATTGAGGAGTGGGTAGTAGTTGTAGTGTTCAGACTTATGGTCAAAGGAGAGCCTGGGTCGGGGAGCCAGGAGAGTTTGAATTGGTGGGGCTGTTTGATAAGGGGGCAAGCCTTATTGCCCCTAATAACAGTATTACATCTTCATTACTGGTCATGGGAAGCCTTGATTATATTGGGGAAAATATAATCAATCAAATTTGCCTATTCCAATATTAGTCTAGCAGCTAGGCTTGTGAGTAAACAATCATGCCCTTGTGTTTCTTCACATTCAGCATTCTATGCTTAGCTTAAAATGTTATACAATGCAAGTCAAGATGTGGAACTAACATTCCCTTCATCATGAAAGTTCATATGGCAGAAACCACACTGAAAAATATTCCTAAACATTCTTCATTCTTC